TCCACATTTAAAAGTTGCGTGACTAGCAAATTAGTGTGTGTAATTGTTAGGATTAACACTTCCTTTCCTTCCTTTATATGTGCAATTTACTTCAGACTGATTTATATCTTACCCCAAATCTCGATTGTCCAATCAGAAGCATATATATTACTAAATGTGCGCTGTTTTGTTTCAAACGATATTTTTGTTATCCCTGCTGAGAATATCAGTATGTGATCATGATGATGCGAAATAGGAAATGTACAAATCTGGAATGAGACACTTCAAATGGATTTTCGTAATTACCCGAGCATTACAATAGAACTTACCAGCTGCCGCTGTGTAAGGCCAGAAATGGATGAAGCCCAGGATAAACACAAGGACTGAAGGCGAGGAAAGACTCAAATAAAACGCCATTGCGTCTTGACGTATTTGGTGACCAAAATGGCTACCGATTGAGTGGGGATCTTAACCTATGATGTCACTACGACATTCAAGTAGATCGAAATTAGGGATTGAATTTCGACCGGCGGGTAGTCAGGGATAAGGGAGTGAAGGTATCGCAAAAAATTAAAGAAAGAAGAAGAAAGATGTAAGTCCCAAATCCTGAATATTTAGAGCTTAAAATACTGAGGGGAAGACTGTTGCGGATATCATTTCCTTCATCGATGTCACATTTGTCGCGTGACATTTTAATGGAGATTTTTAATGCATCACGAAATTATCGCGAATGTGAAAACATCATGTTAATTTAAGTCATGTGAGTTTTTGTCACGACAATCTATAAAATATTTCTTTGGTATGGAACTAAATAGCGGACACCTTTTCTTGGGGGGAGGGGGAGGGGGTTGGGCTCCTACCATGCATTCTCTTAATTTAATAAAACTAAATGATGTTATTAACTTGCGAAGCATTCTTCCGTAAGTGAAACTGATAGCTCTGTTGTAGACGAGGAAATTACTTAAAAATGTGCGTTTATGGGAAAATGGCGGATCTCGTAACTTGGCTTCACACTGAAAACTGGAAGGCTTGGTTCCAAAAGAGACGTCATGTGCGTTACAGCAGCGATACATGTCTTGATATGAACAAGTCACGTTTCTACATCCTTGATTGTCTGTAGTAGAACCGGTAACGGCCCGCAGACAGTTCGTAACTTTTCATTTCATTTAGATCAGTTCTGTCTGATTTCGATGGGTTTTGTCCGTGTTTGGAAAGCTCTGACTAAATATGGAAAGATTCCAATACATACGTTTTCAAACCGTTTGGAGACAATTCCCTGTGTTTTTGAAAGTCTCTCCGATCACGCGTAGTAGAGTAATGTTCCTCTTGTTTCACCAGATATTTTGTAGAAAGATTTTATCTGGTTTCAGACTTTGCGATGGACTTTTGGACATTTTCATTCCCTTGGGGCAATTTTGTCTTTGAACGACACCACCCGGCTTTTAGCAAGTGCCAACGTAGTACCGAACTCAACACCATAAAAGAGATTTGCCTCCCAGAATTCCACACAGTGCGGGTATGAAAAATGGCGGAGCCGGCGTCAGAGCTACATCATTTCGTTCCCTGCTTTCTGGGGACTTTTTGCCTTTGTTTAGCCCAGAATTTTTAAACTCGTATCTTCGCAGTGCTCTCATAATAGCTGGAAGAGTCTCCTTCAACATGGATACGGAGTAACCTTCTACTAGCGACTAAATACAGGAATGGCTCCGAGCTGTAATTGGATGATAAAAATAGTTAAAGTTAATAAGTTACATCTTAACTCCTTGCACGGGAGTATTGTTTAACCGTGTGTCTCCAAGCGGAACAGTGAAATATCAACGCGACTGAAAACTCCGATGTGTCAAACAAGAGATGGTTACTTACATAACGAAGGGGAGACCTTTCTAGACCAGCGATATTCCATCTGCTCACTCGTTTCGCTTACTAAACTCATTTAGTCAGTTCAGGCTCAGTTCAGGTGGACGACTAGAGACTGGAGCCATTCCTGTATTTCACCGCTGGCATGAATGGCTCCGACTCATGCGTTTATTAATTTTCTTTTTTTTGTTTTCGTTTTGGCTAAATAAATTTTAAACTGAAATAAAATCGAAAGAATCATGGTACCTCGACATGATTCATTGCAAGAGCTGCTACCACTGGTTTGACTGGTATGACATTCTTTTTTTGTTTGTTTTGTTTTTTCCTATTTTCAGGTATAGTGGAGCTGTTAAAAATTACCAAGCGAAATTAAAGTAATCCGCGACTTTCTTCCTTTAGGTGTTGTGCAAAAATAGATGAGGAGCCCGATGAATGGATTTGTGCGGT